GGAGGTGGCACCTTCTGTTGATACTTTGCTTTATTAAATCTCACATAAATCCTCACTGAGGTGCAGATTCCCGGCACAGCTGCTCACCATATCAGTTCCTTTTGCTGTCAGTGCTGCCCTTGCCAGTGATTCCAGTTTGGTCTTGACTCTCTGGTTCTCCCTAGGTGGGACACCTCCAGCCTGGCTGTGCCAAGGATATCAGAGTGACCTTGAAATCCAAAGTCCCGGTCACCATCAAAAGGCACTCTGTGAACTGTAAGGTGGACAAGATCAAATACCAGCTGCCACCAGAAGAGGTTTACAACTGGGACGATGGAATGTACACTGAGAAATGGGAGGACACCACTGAGAGATTACCAGGAGCCCGCTGGCCTATCAAGGAGAAGGTAAGAAGCACAGCAGCAAAAGCTAACCAAGCTTCTGCAAAAGGACCTGCCGACAGCAGCAGAGCACCAGCGCTGCTGGCAGAGCAGCTCCTGCTTCCCCTGGGCATTGGCTCCAGCCGGGAGGTTCACCAGCAGTGCCTTTTAGGGAGAGGCGGATGCGCAGTGAGCGGGTGCGCTCACACCAGAGGGGGAAGCCTTTGGGCAAGAGACCTTTATCCACATGCAAACTGCCGGTCTGTGCCACAGGCCAAGTGTTGCAGCCCGTGTTGAATGGGAGGTCACGTTTGATTTTATCCCATTTGACAGTGTTAAAGTCTCTTCATCTGATTTGGTGCCTTGTCACCCCCAAGGAGTTAATTCCACTGCGTTCTGTCTCTTGTTCTGAAGGGGAGAGCAGCACAAGTGCTCTTCCGCGTACACCAGTGAGCTCCGAGCTCTGCCTACACCGATACCAGAGATTTGGGGTGTGGCTTCTGTCTTGTGGGGGATATCTCATTATGGAGCAGCCCAGGCACTGTGCAGGAGTCTGGAGAAGCATCATCTCCAGAAACTCTTGCTTTTTCTATCATTATTGCCAAACACACTTGTCTTGGTGAAGGTTCTTTCTGAGAACTTTGTAAGTCCTGTAAACCCAACTTCCCCATCAGAGCATCAGCAGTTGGAGACTTTCCCAGTGAGATCATTCGCATCCCAAAATGCCCACAGCCAGCTCCCACCCCCCATGTGCCATCTGGAGAGCACTTTCTCCTAAGACGAGAAGGAAGTTCTTTCTAGGACTAGTCAGTCTTGGGCTTCTCCATCCACAGGGCTCCAGCAGGGGAACTTAATCCTAACTTTGAGACCTGCTGGATTTATAGGGGACCAGGGAAAAGGTCAGAGGCTCTACAGGGTTGAAGCACTGGGACTGACAGCTGGCCATAATCCCCATGAGTGTATTAATAGCTGTGGTGGTGACTGCTTTGATCAGTGGGTAGAAACCAATACTGTAGTACAACAGTCCAGTTTTGTCATCTTTCCAGGGAAATAAACCTGAATGTCCTTTCTATGCGGCTGAGTTTGGAGGCCAAAGGATTTCTCAGCTCAGCCTGGCTTTCTGGGCTCTGCTCAGTGATTCTTCCCTCCTCTGCCTGCAGGTGGCCAAGGCAGTCCCGGAACCACCTCACACCGTCCTGGAGAAGAGCAGCCGCGAGGTTGAGCTTTTCCTCAGTGCTCAGGTTGACTATGCCAAGTTCAAACTAGACACGGTCGAGGTTCAGATGAAGCAGACTGAGCCCTTCCAGACAGATATAAGCACGTGAGTGCTGGGCACCATGTTGGCCCTTTCCTCCTAAACTTCCAGACTTTGAAATACTTTGTTTGGGCCACCCAGGGCAGCAATTCTGAACGTGGCAGAGTTGCCTGGAGAAGAAGACGTTCCTCAGCAGAAGGTGGTACCAGAAGCCCACCATACAGTGTTACTTTAGTACATGCTTTTTATTCCTCCTCCTTGTTTTTCAGTTTCCAGATGTCCAATACAGGCAAAGTAGCCCTGAAATACTCCTGGGAGGTGGATCTGGAGGAGGAAAGACCATCAAAGAGTTCTGGAAAGCCGTTCTCGGTCACTCTGATGCGTAAGTCATTGGCTCTGGGACATTTCAGTTGGTAGCTGAGGGCCTGGGGAGAAGACCCTGCCACTTCACCCCAAAACATTAATTGCTTTTTCATCCCTGTCCACTTCCCAGCTGCAGCTGGAGAGTTTTCTCCTTACCCCCTCTCTGCCTTTTAGCCCCTCCTCTTCTTGCTCTGCCACTTGTGCTCTGCACAGGAGCTGAGCCGGGCTCTGAGGAGAGCCACATGCTGGGTCAGGACTGGGAAGGGGGACATCAGGGCACCTCTTTGGGAAGTCTCTGAGACTGGGAAAAACAAGGGTGGAACAACTGAGCTGCCCTGCAGCCGCTGTCTGTATGCAGTTCCCCACTCCAGGGCAAATGCAAAGTCACTGTCTAAAACCAAGCCTCCTGCCCCAGCATGGGAGTGTGTGCTGCAGGCGGAGACCCTGCTCCCAGCCGCTCTATCTCCTGCTGAAAGTACTTGGCCAGAGGTGCTCCAAGTGCATCCCAGCTCTCTTCTATCCACCTGCAGCAGGAGGCAGAGTTGTTGGGAACAAAGGATTTTGTCTTTGAAAGATGTCCTTTTCCCTCCTGCAGGTTATTTCTTGTCCTCTGATACTGTGGATCACTGGTTTAAGCATCGTGCAAGTCGGGTGCACTGGGCGTCGCCGCTCGAGTCAACTCGGCCCCAGTCAAGTCGGCCCCACTCTACTCAGCCCACGCCAAGTCGGCGCCGTTCAAGCCAGATGACCTGCCTTTCGAAGCATGTTAGTTCCTCTATGGAATTGTATCCAGATGACTTAAATGACCCACCGCTGTTCTCCATCGAGCCTGACTGTGGTACCATCCCTGCTGGACAAAACCAGATTTTCCACGTGAAATTCTGCCCGATGCGTGTGGGGGAATTTAAGGCTGAAATGCTGTGCAGGTAAGAAATGTCCAGGTGCTTTCCAATCCATGCTCCTGGTGGGTATCACAGGATGGGCCATCTGGTGCACCCTTCCTGCTCAAGCAGGGTCATCCCAGAGCGCATGGCACAGGATTGTGTCCAGAGGGTTCTGGAATACCTCCAGTGAGGGAGACTCCACACCCTCTCTGGACAACCTGTCACCTGCACAGGAAAGAAGTTCTTCCCCACGTTCAGGTGGAACTTGTTTTGCATCAGGTTATGCCCATTGCCTCTTGTCCTATTGATGGGCAGCACCAAGCAGAGCCTGGTCCATCCTCTGACATCCTCCCTTCAGTCCCTCTGACTGGGGTGGGTGAGTGTGCAGCCCTGGGGACAGCCAGCCCCAGAGAGGCAGCAGGAATACACAGCATCCAAGAGCACAGAAAGATGATCATCTGGCCAAGGCCAGATGTCTGTGGAGATGTCTATGGATCTGTGTGGAGACAATGGGAAAAGACACTGTATGAAACACTAAGCTCCTGGAGGGCTGCAAAATCTGGAATGGGAGATCCAGAATGGCTGCCAAGGGGCCAGCCAGTCCCCAGCTATGCTTCCTTATGGGACAAGCCCAGCCTCCTTCTCTACCTGGAACCCCATATGCTGCAGTTGGTCCCCAGGCCCATAACTGGTTGTGTTTCTGCCCTTCCACCTCTGCTGCCTCCGTGGCAGGGAGTGCAGTTCTGTTTCATTTGCTGCTCGCTGCTTGCATGGAGAGAGGATGTGACACTGTGTGCTCTGTGAGGAGACAGGCGAGCAGCTGGCTGGCTGGAAATGTTCATCTGGCTAATACCAGTCCCTTTCTTCCCAGCATTCCTAACCTGAAGCCATCTCAGAAGAGCCCATCGGTGTTTGTGATGGGGAAAGGCTATTTGCGGAAGGCTGGTCTGAAACACTCTACATCACTGCAAAAAGGTGAAACCCAGAGCAGCAAACCAAAGAAGGTGCAGCGGTCAGCAAAACCAGAGTGACACCATTTGTGTCATGGCTTCTTCTGCTCATGGTTTCCCAGCCTTCACCAGAGGCCTCCCCAGCTGCTCTTCAACCCCCAACACCCATCTCTACGTCATCCACATACTACCTAATAAACTGTGTCTCAACCCACAAGTTTTCGCACTGTTACTCTTCCAGTTCTCTCCCACATCCACAGGAGGGGAGTGAGCAGGTGTCTGTGTGGTGCTTGGTTGGGAGCTGGGGCTCAGCCATCTCCAGGAAAGCAGGTGTGATCAGACATCACCCCTATTCCTCCGCAGGCTGCTCTGCTCTCTTAGGAATTCCCATTCCTTGGCCTTTGTGTAATGGGTGGGGTGGTGAAGTGTCCCTTGATCACACTAGGAACTCTGCATGGCTAATGTGGGAGCAGCACTGACTGTAGCGGGAACTTCAGCTGCTTGGCTAAAGGCTGGGGTGAAGGACAAGAGTGGCAATGATCAGTTATCCCCTGACAGCCTTGGAGCATTTGCTACCTGAACCCTAGCCCGAGGGGAGCGCTACCATTGCCTCAGTAATTATTACAATCCAGCTTTTCTTGGGACTGGAAGGTTCAGCCTTCATTGTCCATTGCTCTGTTTCCAAGGTGCTTCCCAACATCAGCCACTGTCCCAGAGCTTAGCTGAGTAAGACAACCCATGTCAGTGACAGGCAGAAGAGAAGGTTGTGTGGAGACCTCGTAGCACCTTCCAGTACCTGGAGGGGCCTGCAGGGAAGCCAGAGAGGGACTCTGTCAGGAACTGTAGTGACAGGCCAAGGAGTAATGGGTACTAATTGAAAGAGGGGACATGTGGCTTAGATATTAGGAAGAAATTCTTTACTGTGAGAGTGGTGAGACACTGGTACAGGTTGCCTGGGGAGGTTGTGGATGCTCCAGCCCTGCAACTCTCAAAAAGCCAGGCTGGAGGGGGTTCTGAGCAACCAGGTCTAGCGGCAGGTGGTGGCACAAGATGATCTTTGAGGTCCCTTCCAACCCCTTAACATCCTGTGAGTCCGTGATTCTCCAAGTGTTTGGGCAGAAATGGAGCACTTTGCGCGTCCCGCTCCCGCCGGGAGCTGCTCCAATCCCGCCGTTCAGCCGGGGCTGAACTGGGTCCGTGGAGGTGCCCAGGAGCGAACCGAGCGGAGCGCCGGGAGATGGCGCTGGGTCCCTGTGGAGCAAAGGCCCGGCTGTGCCCGGCCGGGCTGGAGCACACGGCCCCCACACAGCCCCTCACGGCCCCACAGCCCCTCACGGCCCCACACAGCCCCTCACGGCCCCACAGCCCCTCACGGCCCCACAGCCCCTTACGGCCCCACACAGCCCTTCACGGCTCCGTCACGGCTCCGTTCCATCCGTTGCCTGGCAACTGGAACACTGTGACAGCGACTGTTGCGTTGGTGCTGGCGCCGCGACACCCTCAGTTCCCTGTTCCCTCTCATCCTACCCTGTTCCCTGCGGCCTGAGCTCTGTCAGGCAGCGACATTCAACGCTTCGCCAAGCGAATTTTTGGAGAGATTGACTCTCCAAAAAGTCAGTCTTACAGTTTGCCGAAAGGCAAAGACTGACCGGGCTCTTCACCAACTGAGCCCTTGCAGAGAATTGTCTTTGAAGATCACTCGTGTCCTTTACTGGAAGGTAAAGCTTGACAATGTTAAGGTTGACACCCTGTTGTGATAGACCCGGGTTTCCTGAGACAGTCACGAATTGTTCCCCAGCCCTGGCCATATTTCTTCATTGCTTCCCTAGGTGGCCTCAGCTGCTGTGTCCTGGCACAGCTGGTTCCTCTGCCCAAGCTCAGGCCATTTGTGCTCTGAACACAAAGCTGAGGGGCCAGAGCTGTCTGTGCCCTGAGCCTGGAGCAGAGGGGGAATTAAGATCCTCCCTTAACTTGTGGGCTGGGTAAAGGGCTGTCTGCCTCTGGGGAAGATGAAGATCTCTCCCCATGACACAGCGGTGGTGGGCTGGAGCTGTGCTTTGTCCTGTCCCTGGAGAGAGATGGGGCTGATTTCTCAGTTCTGCTCCTTCCCCTGAGTCTGGCAGGCAGATCCCTGTAGGCTCCATGGAAGTGGAACCGTGGGGCTATGGAAGAGCATCACGCCAGGGCTAGAGGGTAGGGGAAGCTGCTAACCTGGATGGGGGCGTGGAGAGTGGAAGCCCTCTGTGAACAGCAGTGTGGGCATGATGGACAGGCTTCATTTGAAGTGAATGAAACTGCAGTTAGAAAACTGGTACAAGTAACCCAGAGTGGCAGTCTGAAAAATAAAAGCCAGACAAAATCCCAGTATGGGGGAACTGGAATAGTTTATTGAACACGAGAACACTGTTTTAAAGGCATCTGCATTTGGACATGTTAATGAAGGGGACAACCTATGTTAATTAGGGAATTACACAAGTTTTTTCTGCAGTTTCCAAATAGTTAATTTTTCTTCTAGTAGGATTACATGGGGGAGAGAGGGATTACAGGGATTTAGACATAGTTTTAACAATCATCCCCAAAAGTCCTTTCTTAATTCTTCTTGGAGCCAGGTTTATATCTCCGGTTTGCACATCAACAGGTCTCTGGACAAGGGTCCAAACTTCTTGAATCACGAGATGTTTGTCAGCCTTGTTTTCCTTTGCTGAAAGCTGGGTTTGGGCTCCCACATCTGCCCCTTCTTTTTTTTTATTTTTCTAAAAAACAAAAAACTTGGAAAAAACTTTGATCAAACGTTTGCTAATGCAAGACAAAATACAAGGAAATACAAATATTACCATAAATGTTTTCTTTAACTAGAGTATTAAATTTATCATGCTAACTAAACATGTAATGTAAGCTTTGATTACTATTTTCTTTCTTCAACTTATCAATGCTTTGATGTATCGGTTCAGAGTGAACTAATAACAGATTTTATAGCTGCATTTTAGAAGCAAAGATATTCTTAAATGGATCTAACAAGAAACATTGCAGTCTTACTTTTAATACCACAAGTGAAATTAATTTTAGCAAGGAGGCTCCTTTTTCAAGGCAATGTACAGTCTTTTATATACCTGAGATGGAAAGTATGATTATGCAAAGGCATTGTGTGTCAGAATAGTTTGGGCCACAAGGTTTGGCATTATAAAGGCATGTGGAGGAATCACAGCTCTTTTAAGGCATTCTGCATATTGCTACATAAATTATTTTCTTAAACTTTGCACTAACATTAAAAACATTTAACCAATCAAAAAGACTATCAAACATTTCTGGATGTAGAAAAGTAAACAAGGAACAACATGTGAGAAGGAAAAATTCCCAACAATGCTAAATTAAATAACCCTGGATTAATATAAAACTTGTTTAAACAACTTATTTCCATTATTTCTTATTAGAAATTACTTTTATAAAACTTTATTTAAGCTATCTTCTAAAGATCCTATTGACTTATAAGCAATTGATTTTGAACCAAACTTAATAACTTGATGACTTCAGGGTTCGTATGCTCCTGATTTTTACCTGAAAGTGTTTTTTAGTGTTTGGTTTTGAAAAATTTGTTTAACCTAAAACATTTCTGCAAGTGAAATTCTATTCAACTCAGGGTGATATGTTTTCTGGTTTTTATCTAAGGGTGTTTGTGCATGTGTGAGGTAATGTGCATTTGTGTATAAATCAGAACATATTAATTATTACGTATTCACACGCATGCATACATTTACACATTCATACTCGATGGCCATCGAACACACATCATACAAACATACCTTTGGGTTTCATTTTACAGTGTCTTTTGGTTATGAACTGAGAAATTGGTATTTTTTGTTTCTCACCCTCAGATTAGTAATATATGTTTTCTGTTTTGATGATAGTATAACCTGTAAAAACATATTTTGCTTCATGTTCAATTTAAATTTTAAATACATATAAACATTCCTATAGTTCAAGGATAAAATATATACTTCTTCTATTTTTAAGGCAAATATATGTCTTTCTGTGTTAATTTGGCTTTTGGACTTAAGGAAAATTGTTATTGCAAAAACTTAAAAATTTTCAAAAATACAGCTATGCATACATTTTAAAACAATTTTGGCTATTAGTTATGGAAGGGTATCTTCATTCAGCAAAGGTTCTTTGCTTTCCTTCGCTTTTCCCGGTTTTTTTTCTTTGTTTGTTTATTTGTTTTTGCGCGGGGGGACAATCTCTCCATTGGTAGCGTTTTGTTCGCCTCACTCACACTGTGAAACTGAAACAGGTTAATAAACAAAAAGGTTTGCAAAAAAAGACCAGTTCTAAGTTCAGGCTGTGAGAAAAATCTCATTTTATTAAATTTAGAAAAACGGCAAAAGCTTGCAAAACAAAAGGAATAAAACGAAAAGGAAAAATTACAACACGTGTCGGGTGTCCTAGGCATACAGGATTCCCAGGAACACCCCTTCCAATTCAAAAGTCCCGCTTATTAAACATTCTTAAGGTTCAACTCTGTTTACGTCATAGAAGAGGCGTTTCCCTCTGTGTCGTGCTAGGAGGTGGAGTGTCCAGCAGTATGACGTCTCTCAGGATCAGCCATGTGGCATAAGGGGTTTCTTTACTAATAGTAATTTTACAGTTCCTTATTCCCGTCCGCATGTTTCCCTGACACCGGTTCCGGGCTGAATCCGGCGTCTTACAACTCCGCGATACGCCTTATATTTGCTTGTAATAAAACCGATTCTTTATTTCTCACAAGGCTGCAAAGAAAAAGGAAAAAAATCAAGGAAGGGGGGTTTTGCTGCTTTGACTACTGCTGAAGTCGGCAGCTTTGTGTCTGCCCCACTCCGTTTGTCTCTGGGGTCCCTGTTCCCGGGTTTCTCTCGTGCTGTTGCCGCTGGGCTTCCGCTCGCTCCCTCCTTCGCCGCTGGTCCCGCTCGGGCTCTTTCCTCCCTCGGACCTTTCCCGGAGCCCCCCCGGGGATTCTGTGGGATCCTCTCCTCCGCTCACGCCCCATAGCCCCGGTTTTTGCACACCTCGTGCTCTGCTTGTGTTTGTCTTTCCCGGTGCCTCTTTCGGGTCCTTCCTGCCTTCTGAGCGGATCCCGCTCGGGTCCCGCTGCTGCTTCCGCCGGCGCGGGTCTCTCGATCTCGTTGTTTGCTGGGGCGCCGGAGGTGGTGCCCCCCTCTCAGGGACCTGCTCCAGGGTGTTGGACCCGTGCCTCTGGCCGCTGCTTGGCTGCTGCTGCTGAGAGCGGTAGCGGGCGGCGATCCAGGAGCTTGCTGAGACAAGGCGGCAGTTCGCTGGCGCTGGCTCGCACCCCGACCCTGCCCGGGGTGGCCGCAGCGGCGGTGGCCGTGGTTCTGTCTCACACGGCTCTCTCCGGGCAGCGTGTGTCGGGCTGCAATGTGCTTGTGCGCTCCGCTCAGGGGCTGGGGCCCGTCCCGGGCAGCGACTGCTGAGGTTTTTTCGGGCGGTTGCCGGGTCCCACAAGCACATATCAAGAAGGTCGGTAACGTTCAGTTCTGACATGTGACGCTGGGCCCACAGCAACAGGTTCTGCAAGGGCTGTTCGCCAATTTTCGCGCTATGCTGCTTAAGCTCGCGTTTTAAAATTAAATAAATGTGGGGTTTTTTCAGAAGATATTTGAGTCCCCATTGTACCCTACTTACTGTTACAAAGTCTTTAAAGATAATTACCCAATCTGGAGTTCGTAGTCAGCTCACTTCAGCAGTTCCCGCCTGCTGAGGACAAGTTTCCGTGCACATCTTCCGCCTTCTTTCAGTTCTGACTACGCACACACCACCGAAACACAAGGAGTGCTGCTTCCCTTGGTCCAGCCAGCCGATGGCTGACGAATCTTCTAAATGTTAGAAGGTTCTCAGCCCCACAGTTGTGGCAACATTAGTGGCAGTCTGAAAAATAAAAGCCAGACACGATCCCAGTATGGGGGAACTGGAATAGTTTATTGAACACGAGAACACTGTTTTAAAGGCATCTGCGTTTGGACATGTTAATGAAGGGGACAACCTATGTTAAATAGGGAATTACACAAGTTTTTACTGCAGTTTCCAAATAGTTAATTTTTCTTCTAGTAGGATTACATGGGGGAGAGAGGGATTACAGGGATTTAGACATAGTTTTAACAATCATCCCCAAAAGTCCTTTCTTAATTCTTCTTGGAGCCAGGTTTATATCTCCGGTTTGCACATCAACAGGTCTCTGGACAAGGGTCCAAACTTCTTGAATCACGAGATGTTTGTCAGCCTTGTTTTCCTTTGCTGAAAGCTGGGTTTGGGCTCCCACAACCCAGTTATTCTCAAGACCAAGTAATAAATCACTGAAATCCAGATTAATGTTCCATTCCCCATTAGATGGTAATTTCCAGCTTTAAATCCTAGCTCTTGCTGCAGCATGTCCTGGTGTCCATAAGACAGTGTCTGTTCTTGTGTTTCTAGTGCTTGAGACCCACTTTCTGGAGTTGTCTTCTCTTCTTGCCCTTTCTTGCACACCGACTTTGTACGACACAAACAGAGAGAGGTGGTTGTCAGGCTGGTGATTGTTTACCCTTAGCTTCTTGTAGGATAAGGATGCTGGAGAAGAACTGCCACTAGGATAAAGTCTGACGTGGTCCTGCTCCCCCATATGTTGTGTTTCTAAGGGCTCACGTCCCTTTAATGGTGTCTCCTCAGTGACCTAGCAAAGTTTGATGGCAAGGTTCACTCTGTTGCTTATTACATAGACCATGATCAATTCACACACGTGCAGGCACAGAGATGGGAACATCTATATTTATGTGTACAAAGGTAGCTATCAAAAGTTGCCCTTGAGTTCAGTGAAATAATCACATCAAATCCATTTGTTTCTCAACAGGCAAAAGTACTGTATCTGGTTCTGAGACCTTCACTGCAGTAAAGATTCTCCCTCCCTGGACTTGGTCCAGGGAGGGGGAACACAGTTGATGCAGAGTCTAGAGGTAAGTCCTGTGAGGAGTGGCTGAGGAAGTTGGGCTTGGTTGGCCTGCAGAAGAGGAGGTTGTTACAGTTCCTATACCACCAGCTATGGGCTGTCCACTCTAGCTAATAATTTTCAAGTAATATTTAAGCTACAGCTTTGTCTCTTGTAACTATTATTAATGTTCAGAATGTTAGCTCCAGATTTCACTCTGATCCATCTTTGAATTACACAACGTAGCCATATAGTTCAAATAAAGTCCAACTTCCAGCCTAACAATTCTGGCTTACTTATACCAAACAAGCACTTAGCTACTTTCAAATAATATAAAATTCGCAGCACCACTGTATCTTTTGGGTCTGCCAGGAATGGGATTCTGGATTTTCAGCATTCCATTGTTGCTCCTTCCAGGTGAGCTGAGACACTGCCACAACTTATCCACCTACAACATCCTTCAGAATGGATCCCGGATTCCCGAGGAGAGCGGTGCTGGCTCGTCCTCAAAGGCCGAAAGAGCCTGAGAAGCCCAAGCCTGTAAGTACCTGCTGTGGCCAGGAGCTGTGTTAAGGCTGGAAACTCCTCCCGTGTCCCTCTTCTCCCAGCCCCTCCTGCTGTCCAGCAGCACCGTGAAGCTACAGACCCCCTCCCCAGCTCTTAGGGCCGTGCTTCTGTTGGCAGGGGCTGTCATGGTGTGTCAGGGACAGTCCAGAGCCTTGCCTGGCTGTGTTACTGGAGCCAAGTTAAACAAATGTAAAGCACAGGAATTCCTTCTGTCAGGTTGGCACAGTCACTGTGCTTCTCTGACCACACCTGCCCTCCAGGCACCTGGGCACGTGGTGGGCAGCTCAAACGCTGCCTGAAGCCTTGAGAGAGGTGGCTGGTCCCCCCTGGAACAGGTTCCTAACCAGTTGTTCTGTCTCATCTCCTGTGTGGAGCACAGATCCAGCCCCGCAGGCAGCAGTGGAATTGGGGCAAGTCCTCCTTCCCACCCACAAACGTCCCCTTTGCTGCCTGGAGCTCACTTGGCTGGAGGTGACCCAGTGCTGAGGCTCTGTCAAGGACATCTCTCTATATTCTTCTGTGGATGGGACTGTGAGGCCAGACAGAGACAAAACCTGTGCTAATTACAAAGAGAGAACTATGGACCTATTGCTCTGCACCTCTTGTCTTGGCACAACGCTGCTTTTCTGCTTCTCTCATACTCAGCCAGCAGTGACATCTTCACGTGCTGGGGGTTGTGAGCCTTGGGCAGGGATGGAGTTAGGGCAGTTTGCCACTCTCTGCAAAGGTCACTGGCTCAATCCAGTGAAAGTAAAGAGGACGCAAATGCCCCAAGAGCAGAAATCCCCACACGTGTCACATCAAATCATGGAGAAGCTAATGAGGCAGAGCCGCCTGGTTAGAGCAAGTGTGTTCTGCTCAATACCATTAGTTTTCTGATGTTAAATATTTCAGCAGGTAACTTCCAGGACTTCCAGGACTGTCCTGGTGGCTGTGATCACAAATGATTCATCAGAGCCACTTGAACAAGAAAAGCCTTTCTGAACAAGGGCATTTCTGAGGCTCTTGCTGGTTTTTTTGCCTTTCAGTTCACCATTTTTGGCATCAGGAACATAGGTCTCAGGTTCAGGAAGAAGCCGGACAGCCCTCAGGAGACAAAGTTGCCCAAGATTCTCCAGCACCGAGGCACAAGTGAGAACTCCAAACGCAAGGTAGCCTTTTCCTGCCCTTTTCCTTGCTGTTTGATGTGACATTTGAAGAGGCTGTGTGCCTTGCCTCCAGCTTATTGAAACACCTCAGTGTCCAGGTCCTGTTGTTATTCCAAACTGCTGGTGGTGGTTGAGTTCCTTCTGCTGGGGTAAAGGCAAAACGTTTTCTCCTAGTGAGATGCTGGAGTCCTGATCTGTGCTAAGCCAACACAAATAATTTCTACTGAAGCTGGTGGGGTTTGCTGGAGTTTAGCTACCATGGTGAAGGCACGATACCGGGGGAAGGCTGGGGCAGGACAGAAGGGCACCAGCTTGCCATTTTCTATTGTCCCTCTGAAAGAGCCAACTCTTGCTTTGGTGTTGTCACTGACAAATGCTGGGGGTCATAGGATTCCCTGCACAGTGGCAGCGCTGGCCTTTGAAGGCTGAGGGCCTGAGGTAATTACTCCCAATTTAACACAACTCCAGTCTTACTCAAGTTGTCCAGCACTGCTGAGAAGAGAGCTGAACCTTATCCTCATCCAGCATTCACCTTATTTGTCCTATTCCTATCTACTGTGGTACTTTCTTTTTGCCTTAACCTCCTCTGGTGCTGTTCTCTTCTTACTGGTGTCTAAGCTCTAGAGTCTGGAGTTGTGTGGGCCTCAGTCTCCCTGCCTCAGAGTAAAGGTCATCCAAAAATTGTTTCCTTTGGAGTCTGATGTAAATTCTTGGTATCACTTACTGCTTGAGTGCTCAGTGAGTGCCCAGAGCTCTGGGACTCCATTAGCACAGGGCTGTGCTGGAGGCAAGTGCTGCCTGGCATTTTGGAGAAGGAAAGCTGGAGAAACTCCTGCCAAAAGAGCTGCTCAGCTTGAGCCTTCTCAGTGTGGTCCAGCAGCTTTTGATCAGCTCAGAGCAGAGGTGGGTGAGGTACTGTTCCCCCAGTGGCAGCTGGGCAGACCAAGTCACCAAGAGCCTGTCCTTCACCGGGGATCCACAGAGGAGTGTCATTCACAAACCTTCCTCCCAGCAGCTGAACCTCTCCCTGCTCTCTCTTGCCTCTCCAGTTCTCATCACGTGACCAGAACCAGACCTTGCTTGAGCCATACCCATCCGAGCTTGTGTTTCAGAATTATCCCCTGGGCAAGGTCTGTGAAATGCCCTTGCTTCTGAGGAATAGAGGCAAGGTAAGTGCTGGGATGTGGAGCTGTGCTAGAAGAGGAGAGTGTGCTAGAAAATGCCTGTTTGCTGTCCCTGTGCCTGTGTTCCCCTGAGGGCAGAAAATGGCAGCAGGGTGGCTGCAGGAATGCACAGCACTCTGGCTTGCCTGCACTGGCAGCTGCCTGGCCATAATCACCAGGCAGCAAGAGCCCCTGGAGAGCTGAGATTGTCTTTTAATAATGAAACCACACTGTCAGTGCTGGTCATGTTTCTCCAGGCAGAAAATACCTTGGAAGCCCAGAGTTGATAGACACAGCCTGCAGGGCCGTCTGGCTTTCCCTCACTCTGGCAAGCTGACTGCTCTCATCTTCTGCACCAGCCTTTCCTGGCAGTGTCTTGTGCTTCTCCCTTGCTCCTTTACAGCCCATTTAAATTCTCTTTGCCATCTCATTGTGTTGGGGCTTGTCTCTTTGTCGTGCTGTGTTCCTCCTTTTCTCTTCAGTTTCCCAGGAAGGCCAAGTGTCTGGTCTCCTCTTGCTGGTGTGCCCATATGACTATCTCCCCACAGCTGGACTTCCCCACTGTAACTCAGTCTGTTCGAAGGGAATTTCTTCCTTCCCCCAGGATAATGTGCTGGTTGGCCTTCAGGTAGCACATTCTCCCTCTGGAACAGGGCTGCATGGCTGTGTGCAGGCAGAAGCAAGCAGATTCTCTGGGCTTGCTGAAAATGAGGATGACTTGATTCAGGTGTTCTATCTCCATACTGCTGGTGCCTGACCTTCCTTCCCAGCAGGCACTGCCCTACTGCCTCTGGCCGAGCTGCTTTGCCCAGGCAGAAGGGATTCAAGTTCACCCTTGTGTATCCTCTGCTTGTACCTCCAGAGCTAAAAGTCCTTTGGGAAAATGGTCAAGGAAGGCTGTCACCAGGGCACACCCAGGTCTCCTCAGGTTTCCACAAGTGGCAAAATCACCATTTTGTGTCTTTCCTGCAGGTTACTCGGCTGGTGAGGGTCACCATGGACAGCTCACCTTATTTCAAGTTGGTCGGCCCCAATGGTGTGTGCCATCAGATCCCAGCAGGCTCATTTTGCACTATAAAGATCCTTTTCATCCCTGAGGGGAGCAAGGTGAGTTTGGAGGAACATTCTCTCTAAAGCTACAGCGTTTGTTGCACACTGGTTATAGCCCACCCCGTGCTGTGAGGTCAGCTCTGGGCTGGGGGCAGGCAGCCTGGAGCTGGTCACACCTTGGCACAGCATGGTGCTGCCAGTCCCTGCAGTGGTTAAACACCTTGGCACAGCATGGTGCTGCCAGTCCCTGCAGTGGTTAAACACCTTGGCACAGCATGGTGCTGCCAGTCCCTGCAGCTGGGCCTAGAGGGCTTTGCTTTCCCTCCACACCTATTCTTGAATGTTCACAAGGGAAGAGGCACATGGAACAGCAGGGAAATCACAGGGAGGGGTGTTGATGTTTAGCCAACTCTAGGCTCACTGGAAGGGGTTTAATTATGGAAAATACCAGAGGAACAAAAAGATCCAGAGAGCTTTATTCTTCCCCTTTGGAATGGAGCAAAAATGATGCTTTTTCACGTGCTCTGTTCTCCAGCCTTTATTAGTATGAATTAGTGGTCATTTTTGGGGTGGAAGAGGTAAATTCATGCCCACAAAGGCTCATAGAAAACAGCACTTTTTCTTCTGCCATGACGATGGCACTCAATGCCTTGTGCTTTGCCAGTCTCTTTTCCTGCAAGACCATTTCCACGAGCTTGTCTGCATCTGCGAAAGGGAAAAGTTCACTGTACCAATCCGGGCCATTGGTGCCCGCCCAATCTTGGACTTCCCCGACCAGCTGGACTTCTCATCGTGTCCAGTCAACCACAGCACCCAGAAGACTCTGCTGGTTCGCAACACCGGGAACCTGGAAGCCTCTTACAGCCTCAGCACTGAGAGGTAAAGCAGCTCACCTGTCTTAGTGCAAAACACCTTTGGGTGATGGCAGAGTTGGGAAAGAGTATCCCAAAGGAACCAGAGCATCCGAGCTGCTGCACTGCAGCCACAGCTGGAAGTGGGCAGGACATGTGGGGCCTGCTGTTGCTTCTAGTGTTTTAAGCAGGATGCAAGCCCTGAGCTTTGTCTCTCCCAGATTTCCTGGGGACTGCTGGAACATGTTAGTAGTTGGTCTGCACCCTCCTGAGCACCAACACCTTCTGAAATGGCTGCCTCCCAGTGTCAGCCAAATAAACCCATTCTCCAGGAGGCCTCGAGCGTGTGGCACATCAGGGGGCCCCTCATCAGATGCCCAACGTGAGCTGATGTGAACAGCCTGTGCCGTTCCTGTTAGTCAAAGCCGATCTGATTTCCCTTGTCAGCTGAGGGCATCAGTCATCTCTCCTGTTTCACGAAGAACCTTTGAAAGCCAGTATAAATTTTCAAGCAGATCATTTAGTATTTGAATAGAAGCATTTTATTCTAATTAAGTGTCCCCCACCTTTCATTCAGATTTCTTTTAAAATACTCTGAAGTTCCCGTGTTTCTGCTTTTTTTTTCAACTTATTTTGTTTTTGGTTAAATTTTTGTCAAACTGTCATTCATTCTTCCTTGGGAACTTTCTTCAAGGTCCTCTCATACCTGTTGATCTACCATCTACCCATAGGCATATGCACAGGTGTATAAGAAACAGGAGCAATTTGGGGAATATGTGAAAATGTCGGAGATGCAGGGACTGATTTGCCACTTGAGTTCTTAGTCCTGAACTTGGCTGGATCCTCTTCTGAGAATTTGAAAATAGGAAAACACCTTCTTTCTCAGGCATCCCCTGAAGTCAGCGCCAGGAGTCTCATTCCCCATCCAGCCATCTGAGGGCAGGAGTATATGGACATGGGGCAGGAGTAGGAAGGGAACGGGAGGGAAGGTAGTGCTGAAGAGTTGCCAGGGATTCCCCTTAAGTAGTAGCTTCTCTGTTCTAGAAAAATTTCTGGCAAAAGAACAGGAAAAAAATTCCATGCCTTTCCCAGGCCAGGCAACGAACCCCTGAGCCCCAGCAGAGCCCTGCAGCAGTCCTGGCACCCCCATCGGGGCAGATGCAGGGGCACGGAGAGTAATCCAGCTCTGGGGCTGGTGGGACCTTGTCTTTCCTCCTCTCTCTCCAAAGTCTCAGGCCCAGCACAAAAACATTGCTGGCCCAAGGCTTCTCCATTAGCCAGTAGTGATGTTCTCACTGGTGGTAATGGGCCCGGGTCAGGCCCCTAATTGCAGCAATAGCTCCTTAAGAAGCAGAAAGAGCAGCAATTCCATCAGCTGTCACCACTGAGAGGAACAAAGTTCAGCTTGCACACGGCTCCAGTTGTTCTTCTTATTTATTTTTTTTATGTTGCATTCTCTAATAATCATCAGATTCCCCAGGAAATGTTTTTAAGGTGACAAATTAACCATCAGCAAAGCACTAAACTTTTGTTTTCTCAGTGGGGCTGTACAAAGAGCACAAAGCCCAGCAGCCACTGGGCAGAAGCACCTTTCACCTGAGCTATCCCGAAGCATTAAAGCACTGATTTTTGTGTCTGTCAGGCAAGAGCTGTTTACCTGGTGACAAAGCCAAATTGCTCCTGTTAAATCCAAACTGCACCCACATTTGCCTAATTATTTCCCTTGTTTCTCTGGTGGGCCAAGCAAAGAGTTACCAGGCTGATGACACTCCAGAATCCCAGACTGCATGGCTGGTGAATACACAGAAACCTCCTGTTCAGCTCCCTTGCTGTGCTGCTCTTAATGGCACTTCATTTAGCTGGGATTGAATCCTTCAGGCTGTAAACGGGACCCTCCTTTTGGGTATTGTTTCCATGTCACTGTATTGCTCCAATTTGCAGTTGCACTCATTCAGTTTTCATTGCTCCTTTTCTTCGAGCAATTCAACTTCATTGAAATGCTGATAAAACGTGCCCTTTCTTGGGCTAAACCAGGATGTTTACAAGGGGAAAAACAACCCCACACAACCACACTGCAAATTAAACTCATTATTCTCTGGTCTTCAAGGAAGACTTTATTCTCCCTGTTGATTCCTAGGCTGTAATGTCACAGGACAGGTAGTGCCCTGCCGTTTGCATTTCTTGAATAGGGGATTGAAAAAGAGAAATTTCTGAGGCAGTCAGTGTCAAGTTGTGTATGCAAATAGCTCTTAACCCTCTCTGTGCTCTTCCCAAACCACTCTCTGATGGGATTGTTGGCAGTCAGACCCTTGAGCCTCCATGCAGAGTATGGGGGAGATGAGTTCATTTTATCCAACAGGATTTTCTGCGGGCTGCATCTCCTCAGAAGAGAGTCGGTAGCTGTTTCTGATGCTGTGTGTTCTGTCTGTCTTCTGCTGACTGTGGTTGCTTTGCTTCTTGCTTGCACAAGTCAGCTGAAGTGAACTAGACTGCAAATATCCCCAAACTTCCCCCAAGAGTCCTGATCTCTCTCTTGGTCTTGCAGCCCTTTCACTGTCAGTCCAGCCACGGGAACCCTCGACATTGGTGAAGCCATGCAAGTGACAGTGGAATATCACCCAAGGGAGATTGGGCATCATTCCACATCCCTGGCAGTGCACTGCGACATAGTTGGTGAGTGCTGGGCACTGCACGGTGCACTCACCCTGCATCCTTCAAAACAGCAGAACCCTTTCTAAGCAGAATAACGTTAGACTTGCTCTGCAAACTACTTGTAGAACTGTTCATTTCAAGCCTCTGTGTGTTTCAGTGCTCAGAAGTGAGCAAAGAAGGGGCCAAGGCTGAGTCTGTCCCTGTTCTGGATGTGGTGTGTTGCTGTGTGCTGGTCCATCCCTGGGGGGAACCCTGGTGTCAGCATGGTGTTCTCCATCCTGCACCCCCACCCCAGTCCTCTACCAACTCCCCACTGTCCCAGCCACCTGAATTCCCCCTCCAGCAGCACTGCCCCATCCCAGCTTTACCACAAAGAACAGTGAAAACTAGTTAGTGTTTAGGGGGTTGATAAAGTGGATGCCCTCAAACAGGGATGAGATTTACCTGTGGTTTGCTCTGGTCCTTGTAATTAATTCCATCAGCGAGTGAGCTGAGCACAGACTCCTCTTTGCTTTGTTCCAGATGAAGATACCCACACCAGGCTTCATGGAAAAGCTAAGGACTTCGACATCGGGCTGGAGAAGTACTCTTTGGAATTTGACAAGACTTATCTCACGCTGTCAAGCCAAAGAACCATGCTCATCCACAACAGAACTAACATCACAGCCCGGTTCCAGTGGAAGGCTTTTGCTACTGAGGCAGAGGAGCATCCACAGAAGATCAGGTTGGTCTGAAAGATGCGGTGACATGCACTGCCCAAGGGTAAAACTAACATATGGGCTCAGGGGCTGCTTGTGCTCTTGAGTGCTTTAGGGTATTAGGAACAAGTAGGTGTTCCTGCAAAGTTTGCAGGGCAGTCACAGCTCGCAGTAAAGAGCCAACAAAGTTGCTGGTTGTTCAGTTGTCAGTTCGGGAGAGGTGCAGTTTGCCCAGAGACAGGGGGACCAACCAGCAGCATGGGAGGATCATGTGGCCATGTCCTCCATTTTGAAGTGCTGTGGCCTCACCTTGAACAATGTCAGTGACCTCCAGAGCCACCTAATCAGCACATAATGGGGGACACACAGTAGGCCTGCTGGGAAGCCTGTAACTCCAGAGTATCCCAGCCAAACAGGGAGGGACCTGTGCTCCAGGCAAAGGGGATAAAAGAAGCTGCAGCCTCCACTGAGTTGAGAGACCTCACTGAGGTTTGTTGAGTGAACTCTCCCTTTTATTAGAATAAAGGTTTATTTTTTTAGTTAGCTCCTCTGTCTCCTGGCCATTTATGTGAGTTACTTCTATACAGTCCCTCATTAGCATGAGAGGCGAGAGTGGGAGTAGTTTTGCCATTCCACATGCTCAGGTCTTAGTTCAGTGGTTGTCAGGGGTCCACTCTGGGGGTCCTCCAAGGCGAGCGCCCCCTAAATCAATCGTCCTATTTGTGACTCCGCTTCTTGCACTCGGGCAGGTATTCACTTGTTATATAACACAAGGCAGTGGAAGGTGGGGGTGCAAAGTATCAGGGCCTTCTGGCACATCATGGTGAAATCACTGTCTGTTGATGGAGGTTGAGCAGAGGGTTGCCATCTAAGTGGCTGAGAGCCCTCCTCATGCCCAGCGCTGCAGGTCAGCCATGGAGAAACATTTCCGAATGCGCTGCCCCGTGGCTTGGGCTCAGCCCCTTGCTGGGGAGCTGCTGCTGCTCCTCCCCGAGCGCTTTGCTGCTTCTGCACTTACACTCAGCTCTGCAAATCAGTGGCTTATTAAATGACCTGCTGCCTTTGTTTCTCCCTGTGGCTGCAGGCTGTCTCTCAATCTGTCTCGGCCGCCCCTGGAGACAGCGAGGCTCTCCGTAGAGAAGCGCTATGAGTTGGAGGAGGAGACAGCAAAGATTGAAGCAGACCCCATGCTGTTCTCAGATGATGTTTTCACCATTGAGCCCTTGGTAAGTGATAGCTGAGAACCTCCTCCTCCTCCCCCTCCCTGAATGAGCTCACTCGGCAGATCCCCACCTCAGCTTGATGTGCCCAGAGAGAAGACATCAGGTTCCTGGTGAGGCTGGAGAGCTTCTTGCAAAAAGCATTGCTACCCTGTGGGCTCCTGGAAGGCAGCAGGAACCTGCCTAAAGCTGAGCTCTGCTGCAAGGGCTCGACGTCAAGGGAGCTTGGTGCGTGTCCTTGCAGTGTCCAGAGGGATCAGTTACCGCAGGAAGGGGCACAGCTTACACGTGATGCGTGGGGCTTAGCAGAGGGTGTTGGAGCACTGTCAGTTCACAGATTGACCTGAAGCGAAAAGGAGGCCAAATTCAGCCCAAGGTCATGGAAATGCCAATCCCTCCCTGGAACCAGGACTTACAGCATGTCTGAGTCTCCCTTCCAGTGTCATCTGGGAGCCTGAACACAGGACTTTGAAATGAACTTTTTGAGTTCTGTTGCACGCAGGGACAGAAAATCTTTTTCTGTTTATGCAAGCAGACCTCCATGTCCTTCCATCAACCAGAGCCCTGATTATGAGTATTGGCACAGTGTGAGATGAAGAATCCCCGCTGTCTGCGCAGTGCAAAATCCCTCCTCATCTTGGAGTAAACCCTACAATAATCCCAGCCTCTGCTTTCTTTTAAAATAAGTTGAACTAAGTTTTTTCTTTCCAAGGAAGGGGATCGTGTTCTCTTCTTGATTACTCCTATAGCCCATCTAAGGCCAAGAGCCACCAGTGTCAACACAACAGCAGTTTCACACCACTGTAGCTGACAGCAGCACGATGTGACCAAGAGCTTGTGTCAGAGCAGTAGGAATATTGTAGAGTGGGAGCTGATCAGCTGAGCATTAAGAGCATCCTGTGGTGTGTTGAGCTGGTTTTGGAGTGTTTCCTCGGGCTCTTTGTGTTGTTCACTCCTTGCTCTTAAGTAAAGGCTTACAGGTTGAAAAGAAGAAATGTGATATTGGAAGGTAAATCGTTTGCTGTTTCTTTCTGTTTTAGGAGGGAGAGGTTGGGCCACACTGCTCAGCTGAGATCAAGGTGTTCTTTAACCCCCGAGTTGCCCAAGTCTATAGAAAAGTGGCCTACTGTTTGATCTCAGGTATGGCTCCTTCTCCTCTTTCTCTCACCCACAGTGAGGGGGAGGTGCAAATACTCTTCCAGCCCACTGGGCTCCCATGGAAGTGCTGGGAAGGGTCCATGGTCAGCAGAGCAGTGCTGGCTCATGTGCACTGTCCCTGCGGCTTCCTGGTGGTCTCCCATGCAAGGCCAGGGCTCAGGACACTGATCCCAGAACAATCCAAGCAGTACATGGATAAGCTTTCATGACATGGGTTTGCCAGTATTTCCTCAAAGGCCAAAGAGCTACAGAGCAGAACAGCTTTAGGGAATGGGCACTAAGCCCCTCTAGAGCACTGACCTCCAGGATGGCTCCTCACTACATGGATCCATCATCGGGCAGTAGGAGCTGAGGTAGAAATGTGCTCCCTGAGCCTGGATCACCTCCCACTGCCCAGACAACAGCAGACCAGAGGTGGCTGAGCCCTGCTGAGCCCAGGCTGTCTGCAGAAGGACCACCCCTAGCCAGCACCTACTTCTCTCCCTGCGTGGGAATTGTCACCTTCTGGCTCTCAGGCTGAGGTGTGTCCAGGTGGTGGCCACTGGGCTTGCTGTGCTCAGCTTCCAGGAGTGCTGTCAAGTCCTTTTCTGGGAGCACTTATCATTGTTCCCCCACCCCAAGTCACCCCCTCACAGAGGTGGTGGCTTTGCTGTGCCCACACAGGGCAGAGAACACTCGCAGAGCACAGTGTGGTTCAGGTTCCCCTGTCCTTCCTCTCTGTCTCTGCATGGTGCTGCTTAGTGTTTTTCACCTTAAAGTGGAAGATGGCTGTCAGGTTTCCATCCAGGGAATACTCTGGGTTTGCCCATCTAGGAGAAAGAGGTGGGAGGCCCGTGGTCCTCCAGCGGCCAGGCTCCCGTTCTGGAGGGCACTGCAATCCCTAACCCAGCTACTCTGTTGCCTTCCTTCCTGCTCCAAGCTGATGGATACAAGTGTCATGAAACAGCTTTTTATTTAGACAGTAATTGTGCAGGGATAACTCAACAAATACCATCTACAGTAATTACTCAGGGCTCATGCTAACAAACTCTCTTCCTGCCCACCAACTGCCATTGTTAGAGCTGTGGAAGGAAAGCAGGGATTTAAAAAGTTGCTCCCAAGGCATTCCTTGTGATGTCCTGCATCGTGTGAAACTGTGCATCTCTGTTTGTTGACATGGTCAGATGAGAATCATGTTCCAAGCCAGTCACCAAACACGGGGACATTCTGTGAACAAGATGCTGAGTGTCAGAAAGCAGCAGAAGCTGAAGACTTTGGCAACAAAGTCCTGTGCTGTAGGGCCACTGCCCCCCAATTTAGTTAGAAGCCAGGCAGCAATGCCCAACTCTTTGCAAGCTTTGTCCCTTCACTGAACGGATTTCAAAGCTCCTCCAAGTGCGTGGGAAGGAAATCAGAATCATAGAATGATAAGGGGTTGGAATGGCCCTTAAAGATCATCTAGTCCCAAACCCCCCTGCCATGGGCAGAGACACCTTCCACTAGCCCAGGTTGCTCCAAGCCCCGTCCAGCCTGGCCTTGAACACTGCCAGGGACGGGGCAGCCACAACTTCCCTGGGCAACCTGTGCCAGGGTCTCACCACCCCCACAGGGAAGAATTTCTTTTGTATATCTAACCTAAATTTCCCCTCTTTCAGTTTGTCCCCATTACTCCTTGTCCTATCACTACGGAAATCATGTTTTAAACTCAGCATTGCTTTTTCAGGGTGCAAACTGGTGGCTAAATGGGACACAAGCCCAAGGGGTGGGTTAGAAATTGGAAGCCAGCCCCAAGGCATATCACCTGAGGGAAGAGAAGGGTCCATCTCTTCCCCCAGAGCATCAGGAGCTGGTCTCACCCATCTCGGAGTCAGGGACTAGCATTGAGGCAGCCTGGAAAAAGCAGGATAAGAGAGTAAGAATTACTCTACTGAAATGGAAATCTCTCCCCAGGCCGTGAGAGCAGGCTGCCCCTGTGCCTCACAGGGGAAGGCCTCGGGCCCTGCCTCCGTTTCAAGTTTGCGGAACTGGACATGGGGAAAGTTTTGGTTGGAGAAGCCTACAGCTATGAGGTGAGCAGCAGGGGCTGGGGTAGATCCTGATGGCTCCTGGGGCAGAGGGGAGCCTGGTGGACCTGTGGAATTTCTGGCAAGTTGGGCAGTTGTGAGCAGGGAATATTTGACATACTAGTCAAATCTGGGGAATTTCACAGAATCTGGATCCTTTTCCGGGATCTGAAAGGTGTTGTCTGTTGTTCACGAAACCCCAATTCCTGCTTTTTGGCAACCTCCCTTGGAGATCAGCTGGGATGCTTTCTGCAAAACAACCCCTCAACACATGAAAGCAACACTGGGTCAAAAAGCTGAAGTGTTCAGAGGCTTCTGTTCCAGCCTCAGACTCAAGGCACCTGTTGTACTGTTTTGGCTTCTGCCACGTAGCAGCACACAGCATCTTCTGCCTTTCCAGGGGTTAATAATTTATTAGAAAGCAACTCAGCCTTCTGTAAGAAAGGAAGGTTGCTCATGTATTTCCATTTTGCTTTCTTGCTGCTGCAGGCAATGCTGGTTAACACAGGAGCTATCAATGCTCCCTTCCGGCTCATCCCTCCAACCACAGTCCACGGCTCCTGCTTCACCTTTCAGCCCCAGCAGGGCATCATTCCACGCAATGGGATCCTGCCCATCCAGATCTTCTTCAGTTCCAGCACCCTGGGGGAGTTCGAGGAAGAGTTCCATTTCAATGTGGCTGAATGCCCTAAGCCTGTGACCTTGTCTATCAGGTGAGGAAGGCTCTGGGAGCTTGGTGGGCACATCTGTAGCTGTCTCTGAGTAATCATCTCCCACCTGCCTCATTTGGTGGTGGAGCAGAGAAAAAAGGTGTTGCCTGAGGTCTTAGTCTTGGCTCTGATGTTGGCATCCCCTTAGTGTGGGGGTGCCTTCTGCCCAGTGCAGGTACCCAGGAGCTGGAGTGACTCCTTCCTGCAGGGACTTCCTTCCGTTTTGGCCATGCCAGGCAGTGGGAAGGCATCAGCTCTGGGCAGTTGCTGGTCTGGGATGTCCCCTATGAACACCCAGGGCTTTGGAGATGGGCCAGCCTGGGTGACTCTGCAGCCAGAAGAAGTGGTTCTAAAATCCTCTGTTAATGATCCGTGCCAAAGGGGCAGCAGCAGCCTCACATCATCCCTCGTGCCCGTGCACAGGCACAGGCTGTGCTCCTTAGTCCTGTGCAGGGAGTGCTCTGGGACCTCCTTTCCACAGCAGGAAGGGACTGGGGTGGGAGATGGGGAGCTCTGCAGCAGCAGGGACTGTCACAAGGACTTGGGCATCCTCCCATGGGCTGGTGCCATTGCAAAAGATAATCCTCGCCCAGCAAAGGGGAGAAGGGGTGATGACAGGAGAGGCAAAGCTCCCTTTTCAGCACCACAGCAGCACGAGGGCTTGTCCCAGCTAGTCTGAACCACGGGCTGGTGGGGTAATGTGGTGGAGGCAGGAAAGCTGATGCTAGGAGCTCTGGAGCTTTGGAGGTGGCTGTGTCTGGGCCGCTGTTGGGAGGCACTGAATCAAGGTAGTAAAGAAACAAAAGGAATCTGCAGTCCATTCTACTAATAATATAAGGGAAATGGATAAAACATAACAAAAAGGTTATTACTTTGCAAGAGAAAAGTAGTGAGTCGGTCTTTCTCCTAAGGCAAGGGCACAGAGCCATCTCTGGGTGTGTGTACAGGGTCCTCCATGGGGCCAGCAGCACCTCGGGGGCATGCCCTGCCTGCCGTGGTGCCCTAAGCCCCATCAGCAGCTGTTGGCTGCCTCCTGTGCCCACAGATGCCGTGCTCAGCACAGGGTGCGGGGCTGGTTCGACACCCACGGGGCTCTGACACCAGCTTTGACCCACCTGAGCTGGAAGGACGGCCAAAGGCTTTGCAGTTCCCTTTAACCAAGCCGTTACCTCCTCTGTCCTCGTCCTCGCAGGGGTCACGTCACCGGACTGAGCCTGCATTTCAGCACAGCTGGCCTTGACTTCAATGACGTGTCCTTTGGTGAGTGTTCCCTGGGCTTGGACACAGCAGGGGGGATCTGTGCCTAGCCAAAATGGAGCACTTGAACAGAAGAGCATCTGTCACTCGTGCTCTTCCATGGCAGCCTGCAGGGTGTTAACTCCAGGGCTGCTGATGGCATTTCACCATCGTGAGATCCAAAAGGACCAAAGGAATAGAAAGTCAGTATTTTCTGGTGTCCCTCGTAGTCTCTTCTGCTCCAATCTCCCAGTCCTTGCCAGCAGAACGACCGTAAAAGTTCTCGTCCCAGGAGGGCCCAGGGTATGGGACTGCAGGAGAAGGGAGCTTAAGCCCTGTACCTTTAGTGTGGGATGTTAATTAGTGGTGTGAGGGCATCTCATTATCCCTGACCAGGTCAGATGCCCCAGCAATAGCTCTGCCTCAGGCACCTGTGTCCTCGGAGCTGTGGGCTTCTTCTTCTTCCCCAGGAGAAGCCCAGCTCTGCTGACAGAGCTTTTGGCTGAACATCCAGAGCGTTGCCATTGAAATGCTGGTTCTAGTTCTCCATCTCAGGCTCACAAAAGGCTTTGTACTGAGATGATCTACAGTTTAAATGTGAAATCAGTCATGGATTGACTGAAGGGCCGTTATCATTCTGCACCCAGGATGCCTCTGTGTTTTCATGCAGTTCATGGACTTTTTAAGAAAAAACTCATTACCTTTTCTGAGCTGCTTCCTCCCCTCCATCACTGCCGAGCCCCTTCTTAGTTTCTTTTTGAATAAATGAAACAACACGAAAGGCAGCAGGCACAAAGATTGTTCTGTTAGAGGAGATTCATCCTGTTTACTCTGATTTCATTCCTAAGACCTCCTCAGCTGAAGGCAGCTGTTGTATTTTTTGCTTCTTTTAACTGTGCTGCTGGCTGTTGTCTGCATCTGGTGACCTTGGTCTTATTCCCGACTGGGACACCTGTGTTTGTCCTTTTTGTGCCCCTCCTGCCTCCCTGCTGGAGTCACTGCTGGAGCTGGGCAGTGTCACTGTTGATGGACACGGAGAAGCTCCCTGCTGTGCCTGCAGTTGGTTTTCCTCCCCATCTGGGTTCAAATGACGCTTGGTAAGCAGGCCCTGGGAGATGTCTCCTCCCCACAGAGCTGGCCAGCCAAGCCACATGTCCACTGCAGAGCAGGCTGTGGGCTGGTGTCCTGGCTCTGCAGGACATCCCCACCAGGTGTGGCTGTATCCCGGCTTTCCGTTACGGGAAGCAAGTCTCAGAGCTAAGGTGGTGTCAGCTCTTGTGGGCAGCAATCACAGCCAGTGTGCAGTGTGGCTGTGATGTCCCCATTTGTCAGATAAGACGAGACATGGTTTCTAATCACTGATCTCAGAGCAAGCCTCAGGTTTGCCTCTAGTGAAGTGGGCTGTGAGTTGTACGTGGTTGCCCCAAGCCAGGAGATACCTTAAGGATCCTGCCTAAAGAAACTGCATTGGGGTGCTTTGCATCATGTTCCATCCTCCCTTTCTTTTGCTGTAGCTTCTCCCCAATGACAACTCAGTGCTTTTATATCTTGAAAATGCTGGGAGTGTTGGCAGCGTTAACAGGGAATTTTATGGATTGAGTTTTCAGGGTAAATGGTCGATCTGGATGCACACTCATCAGTGTGCAGAAATAATTGATGGTGCTGGTTTGGGGCAGTTACAGAGGGAGAAACTTGTGGTGTTCAGCAGGGCTAAGAGTGGGCATTTCCAAGGCAGCAACCTGAGACCAGTGTCCAAGTTACAATTCATTGCTCGCTGAGCTGCTCAGTGAGCTGTCATTCAGATAACAAAGAGCTAAACTCCAAGCGCAGTTTCATCCTACCAGGATATTCACACCAGAAATCACGAGATGCTTGGTGCCTACTCAGCCATTTGTGTCATTTCCTAGGCTTTCCTCAGACCTTGTCGTGCCACCTGATCAACACCTCTGTGGTGCCCATCACCTTCCATCTTCGCATTCCTGAGGACGGCCAGGGACAGCCCAGCCTTACCAGCTTTGACCAAGTGAAAGACAACACTCACTCCTCCTGGGAAAAAGGCACACTGGCTCCATGTCAGGAGAAGCCAATGGAATTCACTATAACACCCAGCACAGGGACTATCCCTGCCCAGGGATTCCAAGAGATCAGGGTATGGGAGGAGTCTGGCCACACGTGGGTCAGTAGGTGGGGCTGAAACCTCACTGGGGTGTGGGAGGGCTTTAGTGCTGCCGGTTCTCAGTGTGTGCAAGGGAGGGATCTGCACTGGTGTGGGAGCTGGGTTACTTGGAATGTTCCTGAAGGAACACCATTTAGTCTCCAAAATCATAAGCTGAGATCACATGGTCAACAGAAGCCATTCATGTGTTGTTTTTGAGCGTGACTTCTTTGACTGAGAACAGGCAGAGGAAGGATGAGGACAGAAGGTGGCTGTTAGAGAGATGCCACTGTATAAAGTAGTTTGCTTTTCTTCCTGGTCTCATTTCTCCTCTCCCGGGGAACAGAATGAGTTGTGGTCACTGCAGGGATCCCCAGTGAGGAAAGAAAAAACTCGGCAGCCATCAACTGCCCAGCATCTGCAGGAGCACACTTTGCTCTCAGCTTCCTGCTGAAAAGCTGAACTCGTTTTGTCCAAGTCAACACATTTCCTTTGCATTTATGTTATTGTAGTCAAATGAAAAATGGGCCCCTAATTTGAAGACAGTGGTGAGTAGAGCTTTAGTCTCATTATACATGATTATGAATAATGCTTTAATTTAGCCACCTATGCCC